GATAGCATGTTTATATGATTTATCTTGTCCATGGGACTAAATTGTGAACATGCTAAGATTTATCGTTTGCATGGCACTAATCCTGATATCATGTTATGATGATTTATACAGTCCATGGCATTAAACTCACTACTTGAAAATACCAATTAACTTCTCCAAGAAGTGTTTCTCATCCATGAAAAATAATGGGTTCATTTAATGGGGGCTCACATCATGGCTTTAAAGAATATTTCGGCTAAACCGTACAATGATACGGGTCCGTTAGAAGAATGTAAGAGGCAGATGTATAATGATTATATATTCTATTGAATTTGGTTGACATGGACGACAGAAGAACAATCTACCCCCACCATGCATTAAATGGCGGGTTCAGTTGGAAACTCCCTGAATTTTACCCAAATCGACTAAAAAAAGCCGAATGAAAAGGGTTAAAATGTAATAAGGACATAAATGAATACATTAGTCTTAATATAAATAAATTCTAGTAAAAAATTGATAATAGTTGATAATGTTTCATCTACAAAAATTCAACACTATTATTAGTATTATTATTATTAGTAGTAGTAGTATTATTATTAGTATTATTATTATTATTAGTAGTATTATTATTAGTATTATTATTATTATTAGTAGTAGTATTATTATTATTATTAGTATTATTATTAGTAGTATTATTATTATTATTAGTATTATTATTATTAGTATTATTATTATTATTATTATTATTATTACTACTACTACTACTACTACTACTACTTCATGGATGAAAATGAAGCTGAATCGACAAAAATGTTATTTAACGGAAAAATGCTAAGAATATAATCTAATTTCCGTTTCTTTCTGTAAGCTTCCCTAAAATGTTTCTTTAATAATACAAGACTCCACAAATTTGTTGCTTCGATGGTAATTTTTCTGTCGGGAGATCAATTATTAAAATGGCTTCAAGCAAATGAATTTTTTAGGATAAACCTTCATCAGACCTTATATAACAAAACCACATCAATTGAAAACATGCAAAAACATCAATAACAAAAGTGGATACCAAATGTAAATAGAAGGAACAAAAATGATATTACCTAGAAGCTACATTACCACAATACATTAAACAAAATATTTTGAAGGATACTCCCATTTGTATTAGAAAGTGCTATAACATTTAGTGGACTTGAGAAAAACATTTGCCTGAAAAAAAAAAAAAAAAACTCTTTAAAATAAAGATCTTATACATTTTAACTGAATATAATGCGAACTTTTCAGTCAATGAATTTCAAATATTTCTTGGATAGAAAATTAATTTTACCAATTTAGTATTATCATTAATAAATTGATTTGATTCTACGGCTTATCAACCTTTTGTAGTTTATTTTATGCCAGAGATACATTTTGATTGTAACATTTTTTTCTGGAGATAATAAAGATTTACTGATATTATGATCTACTAGTTAACCCATATGTAGGGGGAGAAGAAGTCGACTCATACTTTATCAAGGACATTGGTGCATTACCGAATCTAAAAAACCCGGTTGGAATTGTAACTAGGCTCTTTTTTTCTAATTCCGTTATCCATTATACCATCTAATTTTTCTAATTCCGTTAACCATTACACCATCCGCCTATACATGTTGGTATTTCCAAGCGGTCACACATATTGCTGGTGACTAGACTCGACGTTGCTTAACTTCGGTGAGTTTTACAAAAGCCTTGAATATAACCTTTTATCACATTCATTCTATTGTCAATCTTCCTGTAGTTATTTAATATTTACTAATTTCAGTAGTGTGTGACACAAGGACAATTAATTTGGGAGATTCGATAAGAAGAATGTACTACGTCAGTATTTTCAAAAATATTACGTTTCATTGAAAATCTACATGCGAAAACTTGTCTTTTTATTTAGATTTGAACACTGTCTTCCGTCCCTAACCCTTTTCAGATGTGACACAGCTTAAATGCCTTTACTCGGCCTTGTAGGTGATGAATTATTTTCAACGCCTATAACCCCATTTCAACCGACAAATCGCTGCTATTCGCTTGCTGTTCTATCGTTATTTTTATGGAAAAGAAATCTCGGTCTTACGAGCCTTGAAATTTCAAAAGCATCTACCCGAGCTTGTGGACGATGAATTATTTCCCAGCCTACAACCCCTTTCGCAAGACGAAACTTCGTAAGCTTCACGATACTATGTCACTATTTCCACAGAAAATGTATTTGGGCTCGAGCTGCACAATCTTATCTTCCCAGCCTTGACAGGTTTCAAAAGCGTTTATGCAGTCTTGTGGCTGAGGAATTATTTTCCACCCTACAACCACTTTCCCCACAGACAAAACATTGTTAGCCTGTCGCCACTCTATCGCTATTACCATTGCAAATGTTCAGACGAACTACATTCCTTAGTTCCACCAGTTCAGACCTTCACGGACCTGCGATGTCACGTACACGGAATTTACCCATTATCATTTCTTTCGTCTTCCAGGGACAAGGAGGAAGTTCCGATCGGACAAATTCTTCTACAGAACTATTACTTTGGGGAATAGACTTCAGAGAGTATGCTTCCCCGACCACTACGATCTTCAAGTTTGGGGTCAACAATTATCTATCCTACCTATCCTCATAATATATACTTTTACCTCCTCCTTTTATGCCCTTACAACAACTTAATTCAGCAATCTTTTTCGTTTAGCACTTCTTTGGCTTTGTACTAGGTAAAAAAATAGAATTAAAATCTACTGGAATGTACGTAGCTACCTAAACCAAGAGATTAGAACCTTTCTAAGTTTGTCTTATTTGGAAGAAGACGACGTGTATAATAATAATAATAATAATAACTGATATTAATTGTCCACTGAATTTCAGTGTTTCTAAAATGAATTTCAAACAGTGTCAAATTATAAGGACCTGCAAACTGAATTAACAAAAATGAAGAAGCTTAAACAGTGATTGCCTCTGTTGTTATATGGCCGTTTGGGTAGGATAAAGAAGGGTACCGAAAACCATGTAAGTACAATTCCTGGACTTATAAGGATCTCAGAGCTACAAAGATTTCTTTGCGCGGAAGTACACATCATCCACAAAACCTTCTCTATTTAAACGAATCGTCCCAAATGTGCATAGATAACACTCCTACAATGCGCATTTTACTCAGAGACCCCCGAGGGGACTTGGTAATTAGACACTTAAGATTAATCTCTGGCAAGATGATACAACACGCAATAATAATAATAATAATAATAATAATGATAATAATAATAATAATAACAATAATAAAGAAGGTGGAAGAGAAGAAAGAGAAGAAAAAAAGACGTAAGTTTCAAAATGAATGTAAAAGAAAATCATAATTTAGCAAAATGAGAAGAACGCGTGAGAAGAAAGTAAAAATAAATAAATTTTAAAAAATCGAAAAGTTACAAAAAATGGAAAATAACGAAAAATGAATTAAATTTTTAAAATGATAATAGAAGAAGAAAAAGAAGAAGAAGAGGCGGGGGATGAGATATGGTAAGAGAAAAATAAAACGAAAAGAAGAAAAAGAATAATGGGAAAAGTAGGAAGCGGAAGAGGAGTAGGATGAGAAAAAAGAAGAGGAGTAGGGTGAGATATGGTGCGAAAAAATAAAAATAGTTGGAAGAGTTGTAGGAGGCGGAGAAGGAGATATGATGTGAAAAAAGTAATAGTTTTGTAGTATTAGTAGTAGTAGTAGTAGTAGAAGAAGAAGAAGAAGAAGAAGAAGAAGAAGAAGAAGAAAATGAGTTGAAGGCATATAAGAATTGAGATATTGAGATAAAAAAATGGGTGGCCATCCTTCCCCACCGACGATGGTGAATGGGGGGGAAAAAAACAAGAAGAGAAAAGTGAAGCCATAATAATAAAAGAAAACGAAAGCTAAAAATGAGGTTGGGAAGAAATAAAAGATCGAGAAGGAAGAAATCAAAGGCCATATTTAACGGAGCCGATAATGAATACGACGACGATGATGATGGGACAAACTTTTCAAAGATGAATAACAAAAATATGGAAGAAAAACCGACAACTAGGAAAGCGATGACGAAGGAAAAGTATGAGAGAAAAATGAAAATCTGAAAGAAAAGCAAAAAAAAAAAAAATCAGATGGAAAAAAAAATGAAGAAAGAAATGATAAAGGGAAAAATAAAATAATTAAAAAAAGAAAACAATTCAAAAAGAAAAAAAAAAACATTGTTTCGATCTTTGAAAACAAAACTGATCATCCAATCTGGAGAAAGGAGACGATTTTTCCGATAGCTGAAGATCGAAGAATAAAATTTAAAGAGAATAAAGCCCTGGAAATATATTCCGACCGTGATTGGAAAATTAAAGATTATGGAATATGAAAGTGACACTTGGCACAGTGCCTAAAATCTTAAAATAAAATGGCCGAACTGAAAATAGCAAAAAAAAAAAAAAAAAAAAAAAAGAATTGAAAGTATTCTGATAATATTCACATTAGTAAAGTCAACTGGAATCCAGAGGAGGGTGCTGGAGTATTAGATAAACTTCCTGTAGGTTAATCTCTGGGAATAATGTTATTGATGAACGAAGATGATAGCAGTTGTCAGTTATTTAGTTGCTGAAGTAGAGATTGACGATAATAAACTTGGTTAAATAAATAAATAAATAAATAATAATAATAAAAACAACAACAACAATAATAATAATAATAATGAGTAGAGGAAGAGGAAGATGAAGAATAGGAAGAAGATAAAGGACAAAAACAAAAACAAAAACAAGAAAAAGAACATTAATCTCTGGCAAGATGATACAACACAATAATAATAATAATAATAATAATAATAATAATAATAATAATAATAATAAAAAGAAGGAAGAGGAAGAGGAGAAGAAAAAAAACGTAAGTTTCAAAATGAATGTAAAAGAAAATCATAATTTAGCAAAATAAGAACACGTGAAAAGAAAGTAAAAAAATTAATTTTAAAAAGTCAAAAAGTTACAAAAAATGCAAAATAACAAAAAATGAGTGAAATTTTTAAAATGATAATAAAGAAGAAGAAGAAGAAGAAAAAGAAGAAGGAAGAGGAGGAGGAGGAGGAGGAGGAGGAGAATTTAAATTGTAGTCTTGATGAACAAATAATGGCGACCGTACTGCGAGGAAAAAAATCAACGTTGTTCGTCCGCATTCCGACGAAGAATAAAAAGGCGAGGAGAGGCAAAGAATACATGGAATAAGTTCCTGATGGCTTGAACTGAGATTAACATAATTCTGATGGCCAAAATGACGAATTAGCAACACGAAAAGAAAAACAAAAGAAAAAATAATGAGTAGTGAGTGGAAAGGAAGGAAGAAGGGAAGTGTGTTGATGCAAAGAACTATTTAAAAAAAAATATGGTTCGGTCCGTTGTGGTGAAGGGAGGTACAGTTGGAATTCTTTCTCTCGGAGCATCATGAAAAGGCCGCGGAGAATTGGCCAGGAAGATGTCCCGAGAAACGAATCTGAAGAATTTCTGAAAGAATGAGGTGAATACAGAAAAAAAAAAAAAACATTCAATGAAATATCCAAAAGAATATTCCAGTAATTCCCCATGTATAATACGCATTTTTTCCTAAAAAATAATAAGCAAAATTAGGGGGCGTATTATATACAGCTACAAAAAAATCTCCAAAAATTACAGTTTCATAGGTAGATTTCACTTGCGAAATGACTATTCACCACCGACATAGGACAATTTGACACTAACATTCGGCGATTGCGACCCCATAAGGATGTCAAATACAATCATATGTACCTAACAATACTTACGAACGTAAAATAAAATAAGAATTATCATAATACTAAATTAGAATAATATTATTCTATGTTTAAACCATAAGACTAAGAAACGCTGGCCGTAATGAAATTGGAGAGGTACAATTTATAGGGTTTGATTACCAAAAAGAGGTGCGTATAATGCGTGAGTAGAAGCATTTTCCCCACACATTCAGCACAATTTTAGGGGTGCGTATTATGGATGAAAACGTATTATACATGGGGAATTAAGGTAATTTGGAAATTGACCAACGCTAAGTAAAGTTATATAATGTGGTTTTATGTTTAGTTTGAGACCAGTTGAAGGTTAGAAATTTGAATAAGGCAGGCTCTTTTAACTTGACATCTCATTTTACTTATTAAATGTATATCAATTTACACGGTGTCACATTTTATTACGCAAACTAATGTCTTTGGAATAAATTTGGTATAAATCAACCAATGCCAGAATATAACTACATCTGATATATATATATATATATATATATATATATATATATATATATATATATATATATATATATATATAGGTATTTGATCAATATATCATG